ATCCATTCGTCTATTGAAGGGCATCTAGGTTGGTTCCACAGTCTTGCTATTGTGAATTGTACTGCTATGAACATCGATGTAGCAGTGTCCCTGTAGCATGCTCTTTTTAGGTCTTTAGGGAATAGACCGAGAAGGGGAATAGCTGGGTCAAATGGTGGCTCCATTCCCAGCTTTCCAAGAAATCTCCATACTGCTTTCCAAATTGGCTGCACCAATTTGCAGTCCCACCAGCAAAGTACAAGTGTACCCTTTTCCCCACATCCTCGCCAGCACTTGTTGTTGTTTGACTTCATAATGGCTGCCAATCTAACTGGAGTGAGATGGTATCTTAGGGTGGTTTTGATTTGCATTTCTCTGACTGCTAGAGATGGTGAGCATTTTTTCATGTACTTGTTGATTGATTGTATGTCCTCCTCTGAGAAGTGTCTGTTCAGGTCCTTGGCCCATTTGTTGATTGGGTTGTTTGTTCTCTTATTGTCTAATTTTTTGAGCTCTTTGTATACTCTGGATATTAGGGCTCTATCTGAGGTGTGAGGAGTAAAGATTTGTTCCCAGGGTGTAGGCTCCCTATTTACCTCTCTTATTGTTTCTTTTGCTGAGAAAAAACTTTTTAGTTTGAGTAAGTCCCATTTGTTGATTCTAGTTATTAACTTTTGTGCTATGGGTGTCCTATTGAGGAATTTGGAGCCCGACCCCACCGTATGTAGATCGTAGCCAACTTTTTCTTCTATCAGACAGCGTGTCTCTGATTTGATATCAAGCTCCTTGATCCATTTTGAATTAACTTTTGTGCATGGCGAGAGAAAGGGATTCAGTTTCATTTTGTTGCATATGGATTTCCAGTTTTCCCAGCACCCTTTGTTGAAGATGCTATCCTTCCTCCATTGCATGCTTTTAGCCCCTTTATCAAATATAAGATAGTTGTAGTTTTGTGGATTGGTTTCTGTGTCCTCTATTCTGTACCATTGGTCCACCCGCCTGTTTTGGTACCAGTACCATGCTGTTTTTGTTACTATTGCTCTGTAGTATAGTTTGAAGTCTGGTATCGCTATACCGCCTGATTCACACTTCCTGCTTAGCATTGTTTTTGCTATTCTGGGTCTTTTATTTTTCCATATGAATTTCATGATTGCTTTCTCTATTTCTACAAGAAATGCCGTTGGGATTTTGATTGGCATTGCATTAAACCTATAGAGAACTTTTGGTAATATCGCCATTTTGATGATGTTAGTTCTGCCTATCCATGAACAGGGTATATTTTTCCATCTTCTAAGATCTTCTTCTATTTCTCTCTTTAGGGTTCTGTAATTTTCATTGTATAAGTCTTTCACCTCTTTTGGTAGGTTGATTCCCAAGTATTTTATTTTTTTTGAAGATATTGTGAATGGAGTGGTTGTCCTCATTTCCATTTCAGAGGATTTGTCGCTGATATACAGGAATGCCTTTGATTTATGCGTGTTGATTTTATATCCTGCCACTTTGCTGAATTCATTTATTAGCTCTAATAGTTTCTTTGTAGACCCTTTTGGGTCTGCTAGGTATAGAATCATGTCATCTGCAATAGTGATAATTTAAGTTCTTCTTTTCCTATTTTTATGCCTTTAATTTCTTTCGTCTGTCTAATTGCTCTGGCCAGTGTTTCGAGAACTATGTTGAACAGAAGTGGAGAGAGAGGGCATCCCTGTCTTGTTCCAGATTTTAGAGGGAATGCCTTCAATTTTTCTCCATTCAGAATGATGCTAGCCTGAGGCTTAGCATAGATTGCTTTTACAATATTGAGGTATGTTCCTGTTATCCCTAGTTTTTCTAGAGTTTTGAACATAAAGGGATGCTGTACTTTGTCAAATGCTTTTTCCGCATCTATCGAGATGATCATATGGTTCTTATTTTTAAGTCTATTGATGTGGTGAATAACATTTATTCATTTCCGTATATTTAACCAGCCTTGCATCCCAGGGATGAATCCTACTTGATCATGGTGCACAATTTTTTTGATATGTTTTTGTATCCGATTCGCCAGAATTTTATTGAGGATTTTTGCATCTAGGTTCATTAGAGATATTGGTCTGTAGTTTTCTTTCTTTGAAGTGTCTTTGTCTGGTTTAGGTATCAGGGTGATGTTGGCCTCGTAGAATGAATTTGGAAGTTCTCCCTCTTTTTCTATTTCCCGAAGTAGCTTGAAAAGTATTGGTATTAGTTCCTCTTTAAAGGTTTTGTAAAACTCTGCTGTCCTGGGCTTTTCTTAGTTGGTAGTCTTTTGATGGTTTCTTCTATTTCCTCAATTGATATTGGTCTGTTTAGGTTGTCTATATCCTCCTGACTCAATCTGGGCAGATCATATGACTTAAGAAATGTATCGATGCCTTCACTATTTTCTAATTTATTGGAGTATAAGGATTCAAAATAGTTTTTGATTATCTTCTGTATTTCTGAAGTGTCTGTTGTGATATTGCCTTTTTCATCCCGTATGCTAGTAATTTGAGTTCTCTCTCTCTCTTCTTCTCTTCGCTAGCATCGCTAAGGGTCTGTCGATTTTGTTTATTTTTTCAAAGAACCAACTTTTAGTTTTGTCAATTTTTTCAATTGTTTCTTTTGTTTCGATTTCATTAATTTCAGCTCTGATTTTAATTATTTCTTGCCTTCTACTTCTTTTGCTGTTGTTTTGCTCTTCTTTTTCTAGGATTTTGAGATGAAGTATGAGATCATTTATTTGTTGGTTTTTTCTTTTTTTAAGGAATGAACTCCAAACAATGAATTTTCCTCTTAGAACTGTTTTCAATGTGTCCCATAGATTCCGATATGTTGTGTCTGTGTTTTCATTTATCTCTAAGAATTTTTTAATTTCCTCCTTGATGTCTTCTATAACCCATTGATCATTCAGTAACCTATTGTTCATTCTCCAAGTGATGTATGCTTTTTCCTTCCTTCTTTTATCGTTGATTTTCAGTTTCATTCCATTATGATCAGATAAGATGCATGGTATTATCTCTACTCCTTTATATTGTCTAAGAGTTGCCCTGTGACATAATATATGATCTATTTTTGAGAAGGATCCATGTGCTGCTGAGAAAAAAGTGTAACTGCTTGATGTTGGGTGGTATATTCTATATATGTCAATTAAGTCTAGGTTATTAATTGTGTTATTGAGTTCTATAGTTTCCTTATTCAACTTTTGTTTGGAAGATCTGTCCAGTGGCGAGAGAGGTGTGTTGAAGTCTCCCATGATTATTGTATGGTGGTCTATTAGACTCTTGAACTTGAGAAGAGTTTGTTTGATGAACATAGCTGCACCATTGTTTGGGGCATATATATTTATGATTGTTATGTCTTGTTGGTGTATGGTTCCCTTGAGCAGTATGTAGTGTCCCCCTTTATCCCTTTTGATTAACTTGGGCTTGAAATCTATTTTATTTGATATGAGTATGGACACACCTGCTTGTTTCCGAAGTCCATATGAGTGATATGATTTTTCCCAACCTTTCACCTTCAGCCTATGTATGTCTTTTCCTATCAAATGCGTCTCCTGTAGGCAGCATATTGTTGGGTCTTGTTTTGTGATCCATTCTACTAGCCTGTGTCTCTTAATTGGTGTGTTTAAGCCATTAACATTTAGGGTTATTATTGAGATATGGGGATTAGCAAGGATGGTGGAATATGATAGACATCATTATCCAAAGTACATGTATGAAGACACGAATTGGGTGTCAACATACTTTATATACAAACAGAGATACAAAAATTGTGGTATATATGTATATTAAGTATTGTAATGCAAAAAAAAAAAAAAAAAAAAAGAATAGCGTTACCTTAGATTAGGTAGAGGGAAGTGAAAGGAGGGGAAGGCAGGGGATGTGGGGATAAGAATGATAGTAGAATGAAGCAGACATTATTACTTTATGTATGTATGTGACTGTATGACCAATATGATTCTACAATATGTATATTCAGAAAAATGAGAAATAATACCCCATCTATGTGTGATATATCAAAGTATATAAGTGCATTCTACTGTCATGTATAACTAATTAAAACAAATAAAAAATTTTAAAAAACAGTAATGCTGGTTAAAAAAAAAAGATTTTCTTTTTTATATTATACATATACACTTTTCAGAATGTTTATAAAATTCTACAAGGACTTATAAAATTTTTACCTCCCGCTTAAAGCACTATTCTCACAAGCAAATAGAAATCCATGACTAAAAGAAAAATATCAGACACACATGTTACTGTCATAGAAAATGATGAATTAAACAGAATTTATTTCCAAGATCTTCAAAGATTATTCCAAACACGAAGTATCCTTCTAAAAGTATCCCAAATTAAATCAAAGGCACATCATCAAAGTCAAACACTTGTGACATGAAGAATTCTTTTAGGTCATAATATTTTCACATTACTTTGTTTTTAATCATTTGCAATGCTCTGTATGTAGGTCCTACTTTAAACATTTTTTTAAAGGCATGAAATAATGTAGTATCTTTTTAAAAGTGCAACCACAAAGTAAAGGAACTTAAAAAGAGTTCAAATCTGCTTCTTACATAAAATGAGACAACCTAATATATATCATAACATGAATCTTCCTAAACAACACCTCTTGTGTTAAATAAAACAATCTTCTTATTTAGAAAAAATCAAGGCATCATTTGATTAGTAAAGTCTATTCTTCCCCCACAATTTTATACTTTCTTATCTTCATTTAGTAATTATAAATTTATGATAGAACAAATTTTATTATAGTATAAAAATCTTAGGAACAACAAATTACAAATACTCCATTTTTTTTAATAAACAAAAGTGTTTTCCTTCCTAAAATGTAAACATCCAGTTAATAAAACATACATGATATTCTAGGTATAGCAACACCAGTAACTCACTTATTAAAGAGGTGTATTTTAGTATATTGGTGGTAAGGTTTTTATCTTAATACAAAGCACTTCTTCAGGAGAACCAAGCCATTATTACTTAAAACAATTCTATTTCTTCACTCAGTTTCCGTATTTGAGTAGAAAATCATTAATTTCTGTAGAATTTTGGCTGTAAGATCAGGACACTGGAAAGGTCTGAAATATCTCAGTCATTTGGCTAAAGAAAAGTGTTTTCTTGAGACTTGGAGTCAGTCATTCATTACTTTGTGCTCGAAGGCATTTCTCAACAAACTTCTTCCCTATTAGAAAGAGAGTTTGATTGGTTTTCACTTTAGTAAGGTTTATTCATAACTATTCATTATTTCATAGGGCAATTTAGTATTCACAAAGTAGAAAGTAACAGGTAAACACAATCAACATCCTAACCACATCACTGGATGAATAATAGCTATACAAGTACTTTGTCAAAAGAAAACTACTATGCTAACACAAGACAACTATTTTAATATCCTGAATATGTATATTTTCCATTAAGAGGTACAAGTGTACCTGATAATAGAATTACTTCCTTCTTTTATATATATGTATATACACATATATGTATATTTTTTCAGTCATAGATGGACACAATAACTTTATTTATTTATTTTATTTATATGTGCTGCTGAGGATCAAACCCAGTGCCTCACATATGCTAGGCAAGTGCTCTACCACCCCAGCCCCTACTTCCTTCTTTTACATGTGACCAATTCCTTTTACAAATTTACAAAAAAGAACTTAATATCATTACTTACAGTATAAATATCATGTAGAACATATCATTTGAAATATGTTAGCCCAAAAAGTCTAAATCTAGGTCCTTTTCATCTTAAAAAATAATAATGAAGGAGCTGGAGTTACGGGTCAGTGGTAGAGTGCTTGCCTGGCATGTGTGAGGCCCTGGGTTCAATCCTTAGCACCACATATAAATAAATAAATAAATAAAGTAAAAAATCCATTAACATCTAAAAAATATTTAAAAGAAAATAATAATAATGAAAATGTGAATAAGACCTCAATACAAAGAATTTAAACTCATGAAATCTCTAATATGCTACCAGAGAGATGTTTTCATTTCACTCTCGATTTTTAAAGCTCTCTTAACCGTATTCACACTTCCCCCCAGTAACTATATTTCTTCTTCCATTAAAACACAAAGATATGAGAGCTTTCAGGAAAGAGATCATAGCTCATGGTAGGAACAAGTCTCTCCATCTGAGGAGTCCTTAGTTCCAAGAATTGTAAGTCTATAAAGTAGCAATCACAACTCTGGGGATGATATAAGGACAGAGGGTGGGGATTAAGGTCAAGAAATCACTACTAGTCAACTCATTTAAAGAACTTAATTATATAAGGATACTGGCATCTCATGAGTTAGTGCCAAAGAGAGAATTGAGTTTGTCTTAATTAGATAGAGTCTACAGGCAGAGTCAGTCTAGTCTACAAACTAGAGTCACTCTTCAGGGAAAGTTGTACATTCTCCTGGTCTTTTATGTTAATTCCCCCAAGAATAGTAGATATTCAAACCCCAGTTGCCCAAATCCTTTGGGAAGCCTTGTGATAATGTCATAGCCCCAAGATGGCATGGTGTATCATTACTTACAAGTCTTCAAAGTAAAATGCAGGATCTGGGCTCTCGGAAGGGGTTGCTTCCGGCTGGAACTCCAACCAGCAGAGCATCCTTACAGGCATTCTGCATGCAGTACTGCTGAAGCTCTGCCGCAGCCTGAGAGACCTGAAACCAAGGCACAGCAACATGATGCACTGCTCACAGCCAGACGCGGTCCAATGTCATCTGATATCCTGAATATGATCACCAAAGCTGATAAAGGTCAAGCTTTTTGCAATCTCCAAGTGTCTTTTTCGCTGATTCCAATAACCCAATTCCAAAGAGGAAAGGTCGTAATTTCTATAAACTTTAATTTAGGATATTTTTTACTTAGTTGCTTATCCAGCAAAGGTAAGAAAAAGCTGTAGCTGAAGGTTCATTTAGAAATCTAATTCTATTCTTTTTTTAAAATATTTATTTATTTTTGTTTTAAGTGGACACAATATCTTTATTTTACATTTATGTGGTGCTGAGGATCGAACCCAGTGCCTCGTGCATGCTAGGCAAGCACTCTACCACTGAGCCACAACCCCAGCCCCTAATTCTATTCTTAACAGAGACTGAATTGGCAAAGAAATAGCTCTCTAGTGTTCCTTGTATGAATTTTCATTATGTAAAGCATATATATGATATATTCAAGTTTGCCATGAGAGCAAATTATTTCAATGTTTGCAAAGCTGGACTCTTACCCAGTCTACTCCAGAAAAGTGAGTCTCTACTGAGGCTATCAAAATAGTGCTGGTTCAAACATATCCATAGGTCTAATGAAGAAGGTTGCCAAACACACAACAGACGTTCTTAACCAACAAAACATTGCACAAGTACTAATGCCACATGTTTGAAAATCCCTTTCTTGCTTTCTCTAGCTTCCTCCTCAATTGTCCACCAGACTTTTAGGGGAAATATACGTTATTGGTTAAGAATTCAATCTCTAGAACCAGACGTCTGGACTCAAATTCAGCTCTATCACTACACATGTGATCTTGGGTAAGTTACTTAATTTCTCAGTACCAATTTTCTCATTTGTGAAATATATTTAGCAACAGTAACCCACTTCCCTTAGGTTGATGTGATGGTTAAGTAAAGCACTTAGAGTAGTGCAAACAATTAGTAATACATTTGTAGCAAACATGCTCACAATAATTTACAGCTCCTTCCACAATCAGGAAGAATCTACTTACCCTTAAATCTGGGCTGGGCTTATGACTTGCTTTGACCAATAGCATGTAACAGAAATAATTGGCAAGTTCCAAATCAACTCCTTAAGAATATTTGCAGCTACCACTTTTGCCACAGTTGAATCCCCTGAGACCACCATCATCCTGAATGGGCCCAACCTAGCCCTGTTAGAAGTCTTGGGGAAGAGAACCACCAGGTGGCCCCACCGGCCCACCTCAGGACAAGTGAATAAGGCCACCCAAGTTCATGCAGACAGCGGCCAAGTCTCCATCTGATTGCAGATACATGAGAGAGTCCAGCCAAGATAAGTAGAACCATATGGCTGAACCAAGCTCAGATTTATTTTCAAGTAGCGTTATTATCTGAAATCATTTTATATACTAATGTTTATTATCATCCCCACTACAATCACTCTATTCCCTGGAATAGCCCATGTCCAGGTGCAGGGAACTGAGTCTATCAAAATAGTGCTGGTTCAAACATATCCATAGGTCTAACGAAGAAGGTTGCCAAACACACAACGCTTCTTAGCCAATGAAACATTGCACAAGTAACTAGTGCCACATGTTTGAAAATCCCTTTCTTACTTTCTCTTGCTTCTTCCTGAATTGTCTGTTTGGACCTTGGTCGCACGCCCTGGTCACTGCTCTTCATGCAATGCATTTTTTGCCCTCTCACTCCTACACATTTTAATGACCTCTTTCAGCCTTGCGCTCTGAGCTTCAGTCCACAGCTGAACACCTCTTGGATATCCCCGCAAAGTCCGCTTATCCAAAACGGAACTCGTTTCTTCCAAACTCCTTCCCCCTCCTCTCTACCTCAGCCACCGCAGCTCCATCCATCCATCCCGTCACCGCATCAGAAACCTGAGCACCCTTTCCCCTCCCTCTCGCTCTCATCCTATCCAAGCATCACTAGGTCCTATTCATTCCGCGCCTCCCCATCGCCAGACTCCATCTTCCTTCACCAGCCGAGTCCAGGCCGCCAACGTGTCGCCCGCAACGTGGGTCCCCGCCAAGTTGCTATCCACGCTGCACGGACCAGGGCTAGCCTTCCAGATTGGAAGAGCCCACGGGGAACCCCAGAGCCGTGCCACGCCCGCGGGGCCAAGCCCGTGTCGCGGGGCCGCCACGGACCCGGCCTCCTCCCCAGGTCGCTGGGTCCCGCAGGGCCCTGCGCGCACTCCCGGCCCGCAGCCCCGCGTCTCCCGAGCCCTCCGCCGCCCCCAGCTCCCGCCCTGCTCGCGCCTGGGCCCGGGTCAGCAGCCATTTCCGCCGCGGCCTCAGGCCGCCCCCTCTCACGCCCCTCGGTGGAGACTGGAGCCCGGGTCTCCGGGCGCCGAGGGGAGCGCGCCTCTGGGCGGGCCGCCCGCACCTTGATCCTCTCCACGCTGGCCTCCAGCTTGAGCTGCTCCACCAGGCGCTGCAGGGCGCTCACGCTGGCCCCGGAAGACATGGCGGCGGCGGCGCTGGCTCCGAGGGCGGCTGAGCCAGGCTGGGCTGAGCCGCCGGCCCCAGTCAGGCGCCGCCCCGGGGCGGGGAAGCAGCTGCGCCCGCCCCGCCGCCCGGCTTCGACAGCCCGGGGTCCCGCAGCCGCAGGCGAGGAGCAGTTAGCGGCGCCGGCGGGCTGGCGGTGCTCTGAACCCCTCCTGCAATGAAAACCTACGTGGCACCTGCGTCTCGTCTGTGCCTGGGACCTGCGCTGGGACCGGAGGCCCGTGGCAGGGCGCGCAGAGCAGCGCCCATCTCCGCAGCGAAGCTAGGGCTCCTAGAGGGAGCGAGAGTCGCGTGGGGTGTGCACTCCTCAAGGGGCAAATGTTCCTGGTGAGCTGATTCCCCGTGGCTGGAGCCAAGGTGTGAAATGAATTGGAGAAATAAGGGGCCATGAGAAGACTATCCCGAGGGAAGTGGACGACAATTTGTAGGATTTCATGAAATAGTAACAGGCTAACCTATAAACCTGTCCCTGCCTCATGAAAACCTACCAGTCAGTCTAAGGGTCAAGGAAGTAGGGTAAAACTATCTCAGCCCCAGCTGTCTTTGTGAAATACATTGAATAAAATTAGATTAGCTTCTGACCAGTTTCTGTTTTCCTGCATTTTCTTTAATGTGCACGTTCTAAGACTGGGATCATTACTATATGTAAATTTGGAGGTTTTTTTTCACTTAATGTATTATGAATATCATTATTCTTGTATACATTAATTACACTTGTCAGAACCCACAAATTGAGTAATGCAAAATGTAATATTTTGGCTTCTATAATTGAAAAGTCCATGTGCTGGGAGCCATTAGCCAAGTAGGTATGACAATTTCCTTGCCAGCGCACCCCATGTTGCAGTGACATTGAATGTAGGTGACCTTGTTCAAGGACCAAGGCGGATTAGGGCGTCCCGGTTTAGGTTCCAGGTTTAAGGTTTAAGATTATTCCTGCTGGGAATAGGGCGTATCCTGCTGCCTGAGTTCCCCTTGAGTTCTCACAGGATTCAGAGTATTTTTTGAGAGATAGAAGCCCAGTGGAGGTGATTTTGGGCAGAGAACGTGGATTTGGGCAGAGAACTTGGATTTCCCCAGAACGTGATTGTAGACGGCTGGTGTGAGTTCGGGAATAAAGGGTTGCTGTTTGAATCTACAAGCTGTGTGGTGGCTCGTGATTGTGTGCCCAGCCAGACTGCGGCATTTGTGCCCAGCCAGACTGTGGCATCCATGGACTTTAAACTGGTGGATTTAATTACCTAAACAATAGTTTCAGACTCTTCTCCATCTCTTGGCTTTGCCTTCTCTGAGCCTTGGCTTTATTTTCTTCAGTGGTAGATAGGCTGTGAAGGCAAGCTTCATGCTTTCATTAGCCAAGCCTAAGGAGCACAGTAGCAAGTATATCTCTTCCTACTGGTTTCAGCAAAAGTCCTCACAGTGGATCTCACTGGCTGGTAGTGAGTGATGGGCTCAAACCCTGAACCAGTTACTACTTGAAGGGAGGGATTTGTTGGAATGGTCAGATTTGCTGCCTGGGCCAAGAGCAGGATGAAGATCTGAGTTAGCCTTACATGTAGTGGGCCAAGGTACACCACCCCAGTTCCTGTTTCAGGACTGAGGCACTCATTCCTCCAGTGGCTGGAAGTGGTGGCAGTAGATGATTCTCATCTGATTCTGATCTGTGAACTGCAGAAAACATGTAGGCCAGAGAACACCTAGGCCAAGGTCACAACCCTTCCAGTGTTAACCCTCTTCCATTGGTTGATGGAAGAAAGATATCTATATATACATACACTCACAAACACATATATACATATATATGCATTTTTATATAGGAAAGAAAAACATAACTATAAATATATATGTATACACGTATACTTATGTGTAATGCATACATATATATGTGTATAAATATATGTCATCAGTAAGCTCTTTTGAAACCAACCAGGGCACTGTAGTCTAGAGTAGAAGATGTGATTTCCCTGCAACTCCAAGATCCACTCCTAGGTGAGAATCCTGTGGAAGCCTTTGCAGGTGTGCACAGGGGCTCAGGCAAGAATCTCATAATTTGCCATCTGCTATAGGATATCTAGCACAACCATTGGCCTCAAGTTACACTGATAGATCATCCCAGCTCTGGAGCACCTAAAGGGATCATCTCAAGTCTTCATGAAGCACAGGCCAACTCCTCCTTCTGCCCAATCCTCACTTTCTGAACCCTCTGCCAAGTGTTGGTTTTAAGGCACTCTCCAATAAACTTTGTTTGTATGTGGTGCTGAGGATAGAACCTGGGCTGCACGCATGCCAGGCAAGCGCGCTACCCCTTAAGCCACATCCCCAGCCCACACCCAATAAACTTTCAATGTGGAAATTTTCATCACAGGGTGTTTCTCTTAGGAACTCAAACACATGGACCAAGATGGGGGAAGAGCAGTTTCCCAAAGGAAAATCAGGTTGTTGATGTCAGAAGAGGGGAAAGGATAGAGAGAAGAAAAAAAACTACAGCTACTTTTAATGACTGCAACAGTTTATTACTGCCCTATTATTTAATACCATTACCATAAACATATATCTCTGTTCAGATATTTCCTTAGGATGCACTCCTGGAAGAACCAATGGATCAAAGAAAATACTTAAAACTTTGCTACTTTATCTTCTTGAAGGTGATAACAACTAATTTTCCCACTAGAAGATGATGAGACTGCCTATTTCTGTGCCATCATATTGAATAACTCCACACTGTAATTCTTAACCAATAGGTGAAAAAAATATATCAGAACTTTTTAAATACCTTCACTATTAAGACTGAACACTTCTTATATACATTTTGTGAGCTATGTATTCATGGTCTATTGTTGTTCTTGTTTTGTTTTCCAATTTTATCCATGACCTTTGGAGTGATAAAATCCTACCTAGTAACAGGAGCATATTTGCACATTTGAAAGCCTTCTCTCTTGGCAAGTTTCTTTGCCTCAAAAAAACATTCCAGTAGAGATGGAAGCATTACTAGACTGATGAATGGGACAGAATAGAATGTATTTTAAAAACATGGCATTGGCAAAGAACTCAGCACAAAGATATAGACTGGAGGAATGAAAGGCTCTTCACAAAGCTGCTAAGAATGAGAGTCATGGGAAACTTAAAAACAATCAAAAAGACAAGTTTTGTCTTTTCGGTGGGAAGAACAGCCCTGGCTAGGACTGCGAGGGTAGGAAGGTGGAGAGACACATCAAAAGACTCCATCCAGGTGGTTATGAAATGCAAAGGAAAAGGGGACAAGGTTCTGAAGTGGAGTAGGCCAGAACTGATGCCAATAATGTGCAGTTTGGTTTAGGAGAAACTAAGCCCCTTTGGTTAAACATGTCCTCTAGGCTCTTAAAAATGCTCAGTAGTCAAGATGTTAATGAGAGATGTCTGCACAGTAATGACAGCTGAATTATAAGATTATCTTCAAATAATTACACATGAAGGTTTTGGATCTGCCCAGAGGGACACACAGTATACTTGTGTCAGCCGTGAGGTAGCAAAAAATCTGGGGGTGTGGCCCATCTCTCTGCTTCATACCCACACCCACCTACTGCCCTTGCCCACCTCAGTGTTCCTTTGTGCTACTCTTCAAGAGGAATGCTTGGATGTGAAATTGCCTGGTTTTGGCACACAGCCCCTAGACTGATCCATGGACCAGCAGGCCAAGTGCCACTTATACTTGAGGAGGACTGGCCATCTGTGTGATGTTTTTTACTTTACCAAAATTGCTTCCCATCCATGACTTTTCCATCATGGAACTTCTGAGCTGAGAGGAACAGTCAGATAGTGCAGCACATCTCTGACTTTACAGAGGAAGAAAGTAACACCCTCCAAGGAATGTGAAGTCACCGATCCATTATCACAGAAAATGGGAGTGGGGACAAGAATTTCCATCTTAACTTTCAAGAGAAGTCACCACCCACGTGGAGGATGAGGGGCCCTTCCCACATGTACAATGACTTCCAGAACTCTGAACAGAGGTGAGGCATGGGTACGTTCCTCCTCTCTGCAGTTAAAATGCACAGATCACCAGTATTTTTTTAAATGTTGTTACTTTTTCTTTCCCCCTTGGTTAAGCTAAAAACTTTAAAACCCCCCGTTTCCAAGAATGTCAGTATTTTTCAGAAATGTCAATGCCCTTATAAAGACAAGTGCTTCATTTGTTTCTGCTCTGATCTGCAGTTCTCCACTCTTCATAGTGACTTATTTTTCCAGAAAAGGTCTATGAATCATTCTTCTCCATAAAAATGATACAGTGGGAAGGTACTTCCTTCTACTAATGTTATCCCCAAATTGCAATAATGTATACCTTCTGTAGCTTCCTAAAGTAATAATAGTGGACTATATTCAGCTGGGCCCAGTGGCACACATCTGTAGTGCCAGCTACTCAGGAGGCTGAGGCAAGAGGGTCGCTTCAGCCCACGAGTCCAGGGCCAGCCTGGGTGGCATACTGAGGCCCTGTTCCCTCAAAACAAAACAATTTAAAAAGTTCACTTCCTTTACCTATTGTACTTTTAGAACCTTAGAATGAATGAATGAATCAGGAGCTGAAAGAATCTGCAGATGTCCACAGGCATTTTGGTCTTTGGGAGGTGGTGGAACTTACAGCTACCACATCTTCTTGAGCAACTGTTCTGCTGCTCATTTTCTCAAGTGTCCCTTCACTAAATACAGAACTTAGACTATGGCAGGGCGATTCACTGTCATCATCTCTGAAAGTTCTCCTTCCTCTCCTCTGTTGTCAGCTGCTTCATGTTGTACCCCAGAGTCAACAAGGGCAGGCAGCTGCTTTTAAAATAGCCAATTCCCACGCTAAGGACTTCACTTTTTCACTCTAGCTCTGTAACCTGCACAAGGTAAGAAATTCTAATACTTATTAAAAGAAAAAAGAAACAAGTTTGTATTAGAACACTCTCCTTACCATGAATTTTAACAAATGAGACTTCCTCTTTCCTGCTCACTATGAAGGCAAGGGAACAAACATTTACTGAGCACTTAATATATGCCAGAGTATTCTCACAAGAATTGTGTGAAATAGTGAGGATCCTCATACTAAAGAAAAGGAGATTCAGAGGTCAGAAAAATGGCCCCATAGACAACCTTAGTGTATTTGATTACAATGTCAGAGTTACTCTACTCTACCTTGCTCTTATTAAAAGAGGAACCTCTAATTAGAAATCTGTATGACAGTGATCTGAGACCATATGATCCATTCCATACACAATTTCTGAAGATATCCCAAATCCTTTAAAAATTAAGACATCTTTGGGCTGGGGTTGTAGCTCAGCGGTAGAGCGCTCGCCTGGCACGCGCGAGGCCCTGGGTTCAATCCTCAACACCACATAAAAATAAACAAACAAAATAAAGGTATTGTGTTCAACTAATTATGTAGCCTTTTTTACTTAAATACTCATAACATTTCTTGATCACAGATAATCTATCTACTTTAGTCCTATGAGAATTAGGCAGGTTCTAATTATGGAATTTTAAGTCTCCTATGCTACATTAATATTTTAAAAATTACATAATACAAAACCAGTGAATTAATCTTTTAAATGTCATATGAACAAACATGATATATTGCAACCATTTTATTAATATGAAGCAATGGCATAAATCCTTCAACAGGAATATTGGTTCACTATTGTAAATATGTATTGATACTCTGGTATAGTATCATGCTTGATTCAGTAAAATTATGTGTCATTTACTTTAGCTTTCACATTATAAAAACATTTATATTTCAGTAGTTGAGAAAACAGTATACAGCCATGCTTATCTTCTTTCTAGTTTAAATGCATGTAAACACTCATGTACAATGGATTTCTCACTGCTCAAGGACTTCATAAACTATGAACAACTTTTTAGCGCTATTTGTCCAGCCATTTTGTTTTAATTGAAAAGAAAGTGAGCGAGCAAACAATGCTGTGGTACAAAAGATCTTTGTACAAGATCCCCTTCTGAAGAAATGTTTGAGTAACTGTAGTCCTACAATGAGACTATAATAAAGATCATCCTACAAGGACATGAGGCAGACCCACTCTCCTGGAGAGTTTCCGATCTTATTAAGAGTACTATTATGACTGGGGTGGAGTGGAGATCATTAAGACATTCTGGAAGACTCTCCTAGAGAGATTATTCTGAACATATCTCAATCCTATAATGACTATAATGAAGACAACATGACAGTTGAGTCATTCTGCTGAAGAAATTTGTGTCCATAAAGACACAGTAATATAATTAAATGATATAATTATATTACAATTAATTTTTTTATGTTCAGTGAAAATATAGAGGCCATGAAAGCAGAAAAATGTGGCACTATGACAAAGAATAAGGAAGCACTCTTAAAGAATAAACACTTAATCCAAAAATATTTCACAGGTATCTAATAAATTTTCATGTCAAATCTTTTAACTAAACATATAAAAATTTTAAATGGCAACTAATAAATTTCCATGTCAAATCTTTTAACACAATCCACAAATAGATTATAAAAATTGAACAATCATGTCTTATGTATAAAGTTTTACGGAAAAGTTGAAATTTCTACATTATTCTGTTTAATCAAATGCTGAAGGAATTTGAGTCACTGTTGAGGAGCAGTTGATACATTTCTGAAATAGTTACGAAAATAATATCACAATTAAGGTTTGGCACAGTAGCATTCCATCAATCTTCAGTCATCTACAAAAGTTAACCGCCCAGGCCCTTCGTTCTTCATCCATCTCCTGTATCTCTTCCATCTTGGGTCATTTGCCAATTTTTTCTTCAATTCTTCCTCTTGTTCTTGTTTGTAAATCTATAAGTATAAATAACACTAACTGACTTTACAATGCAAAGAGAAACATTTCCCATTAGCTTTATTGCATTTTTTTTTTGCATTTTTATACTTTTC